TATATATATATATATATATAATATATATATATATATATATATATATATATATATATATATATGTATATATATATATATGATAATTTCTTTAGGCGATCTTTTAAGTTTTGAGCCATCCGTTTTGATATTGCAATAAATTGGTGTTATTCATTGATTTTTGTTATCATGTAATAGCTGAATCAAATTTTTCATTTTAAATTTGACGGTGACCGATACCGAGTAGTTTCACATAATTTTGCATATTCATTTATAAAATGACATATATTTTCGTGATCCCCATATTATTGCTAGAAATTGAAATTTAACTGGTAGTTCATCAGATTATTTTGCTTTATGCTATGTTTGCTGATGATGATGATGATGATAATGAGGATGAGGTATTTCTTTCTGTTAATCTAAAATCACAGTTCTTTCATCTCATCCGAGGTTTGACACTTGTAAAGGTAAAACATCTGCTGGAAGCCTTCCAAATCTTCAAAGCTTTATTTGAATTGTCTTAAAAGAATTGGCGACTATAAATATTTGCATCATTACTACCTTCGATCATATCATGTTTGTTGACATCCTTCATTGAATGCTTTGGTGCATACGTCTTCAAAAATTGAGAAGCAAGAAAGTTTTTTTTTTTTTCCGTCCCATCTTTGGATCATCTCATTTGCCACATCTGCTATTGTCGTTGTCATTGTCATTGTTGTTGTTGTTGTTGTTGATGTTGATGTTGTTGTTGTTGTTGTTGTTGTTGCGGTAAGAGAATTTGAACGGTAAGAAATGTATGTTTATTCATTTAGCAATATGATTGGATATATAGGATAAAATGGGAAGGAGATTAGATTACTGATCATCTGTAGGAATTTTGCACGAATATAATTATTTTGTTAATTAAATGCATACCAAAATTCTCTTTTTAGATTTCGATGCGTATTTTTCTGAGTTAGTGGTACTAAATTACTTGATGAAGAATGATTTTTTTTAATTTCCTGAAATTTGCTTGATATTTACGGATGTATTGTCAATTAAATAATGATGGATGCATATTTATATTATCACTTATCATCGCTAATACTTACGTTTCATAATCATTTGTCACACATACAGCGTGGGTTGGGTATAATTTTTTGATCAAAAATAAAAAAAATTTTAATTTAAAATAAAAACGTGCTCCAGATCATTATATATTATTCATGTTTGCTACAACAATATTGCGATTATTGATTTTTTTTCTTTTTTTAAGCGTGAAAAGAAATTTTGAAAATTTATTTGAGGTTATTAATGAAGTGCAGATTGATTATTTGTTCAAATATTGATTAGTTGCTTGTTAAGTATCAATTTATTACCTAATCAGATTAATGTATTAATATTATTATTACTGTTTTTTTCTTTTTTTTTTTTTTTTTTATGGCGGAGGAGGCAATTAAGTGTTCAGTCGTTGATCTTCAATTTTGCTTTGTTTTTTGCTTTTTGTTTTCTGGAATTATTCATTTTGTTTATGAATAAAATAAATTTTTAACCTGAACAATGATGACTATTCACGTCTTTATCACTTATATTATGCGTATTTTTCGAAACAGTTTCTTAAATGAATTCTAACTGAATTTAATTTAAAGACTTAAGTGAAGTTGAATGAACATTGTATTAATTAAATAAGCTAATTTGTCAACAAAATATTCAATGGATTGAGAAGGATAACATATTGAGTTATAATTACTTCCCTGAACAAATCAAACGTGGAAGTGTTTTGATTCGTTCGAATTATACGAAATTCCTGATCGTATCAATTGTTACATTCTTTTTCCCGGAACTACAACTCAGTTTATTGTAGTTATTGATAAAGAAGGAAAGAATGGTTTGAGGAGATTACGTGTATCATTTGACGCATTTGGCGTACTTGCATGGAACTTGAGCTCTTTTGTTGATGTGGCGAAGTTTGTTATTGGAATATTAGAAAAATGGGGAATAAATTGATTAAATTAAACAATAATTACTAGAAGGGAACTATTCCATGGCTATTCCGGAAAGTGGACAATATCAGGTATCCGTGTATGGGTGACTGCGATAATTTATGTTGACTGGTCTGTAATTGATCTTAAATCTCACATATTGATTTTGCTGCAGTTTAGAGAAATTTAACTGACATTAAAAACGAGGGGAAGAAAGAAGGTGGAAAAGTGGAAGAGGGAGAAAGGGTAAGTAAAGTCTAGAAATCGATCCGTTTGGAAAGATTTTGCTGAATGAGACGCGGAGAGAGAACGGATCAACTAAGAGAAGAGGTAAGATCCTATTGCTTATAAACTTCCTACTTTATTATTCAACCACATAATAAAGGTCATCGAGAAGTTTGCTTGGAGATATAGAAGACATTACTTTCAGAGTGTGTTCTCAGTTTGTGATCGAAATGACCCCGGTGATGATTCAGTGGATAAATGAAGAATTCAATCATATATATATATATGTATACTCAGCATGCTCAATGCATTCACTTACTCGTACATAGTGTATCCACGTAATCGCGTTTGATATATCCACGTAATGTTATCTTAATACATTTTTACTACCGATATGTGTCCACTTAATATTATTGATTATTTACTGAAATTACTCTCGTTGATACCTGTCTCTCTCTCTCTCTTTCTCCCTCTCTCCGCACCTATATATATATATATATATATATATATATATATATATATATATATATATATATATATATATATATATATATATATATATATAT